TTGGCATCAAAGATCGAAGAATCTCCTAGAAGTATTGATGACGTAGTCAACGTATTCCATCACATTAAACAAGTGAAAAGTCAACAAACAATACAGCCCATGATCCAGGACCAGAATTACATAGCTCTGAAGACGGAGGTCATGAAGGCTGAATTGAGAGTGCTCAAGGAACTGGGGTTCTGTGACTATGTCAAACACACTCACAGCATAATTTTGGAGTACCTGCAGATCCTGGGGTTTGGGAAGCACGAAAACATGGTGCAGTTGGCGTGGAACTACTTGAACGACTCGCTGCGGACGGACGTGTTTGTGCGCTACCAGCCTGAAACTATTGCTTGTGCCTGTATCCATCTTACCATGAGAGAAGAGAATTTTTTATTTCCAGAGGCGCTAGATTGGTTCAGCGACTTCGGCGTGTCTAAGGAGGACGTCCAGGATGTGTGCTTCAGGATAGTGAGGCTTAACAAGAGACCGGCGCCAAATGTAGATGAACTGGATCGGCGGGTAAAGGAACTACGGCGTCAGTACCAGGAGGACCAGGAGGCCCGTATGAAGGCCAGAGGGGGCTCTGGGTGTGGAGCGGGAGGCACCGGGGCCCAATCTGGCAATAAAAGACCAAATGGAGGCAGCAATAGCCCCACCTCACCACATTCGCGATCTCGACACAGCTCACCAACCCGCTGTAGCACGATCATACATCACAATAGTGGATCACCTCGTTGGGGAGGAGGCTCTACCAGTCGAAATAACCATGCCTCAGACAAGCATCGGAGTCGGAGAAGATCTCGGACAGTTAGCCACAGCCCGCCTCCCAAACGCAGCAAAAAGTCAAAGAAGATCTTGATCAAGATCACGATCGAGGTCATACGAAAGAAAAGGAAAGTCAAAAAAGTTTTCATGGTAAAAGTATAAATGGAAAATGTTCACCGAGCGGGTTACCGTGAGTTTCTAAATAATATCTCGTAATAGAGGAATTTCAAGACGTCAGGCTAAATGAACGTGGTTCTCAGAAGAGCATAATGTAGTGGTACCACTCTAGACTTCTATGCGAGAACAACCAGGTTCGATTCTTTGACGTGTTACCGACAATGTTGGAGATCTATTTGACACATATCACGAAATGGTGTTGTGGGACTTTTTCTAAGAACTAAACTGTAAGCATGGCTTAATAAGACTCTATATTTCATATCTTATTTAATTTTGTGTGTGTTGAACTGCTTGCATAATTTGCATGTTATTCACTGTAACTGCGCATTTTCTAATGTGACGTTTTCAGAGCGCTGTGATAGTTGATCGAATGCCTGTAGCCCTGAGTTTAAGTTGTATATTAAACGCTGATGTCAGAGAATATGCAGTAATTTCTTTTATTTCCCACAGTGTTATTTAATAATGTGGCAAAATCTGAGACTAATATTATGTCATTTTCTGAATGAAATGTAACACTTCGAACACCATAACCAAAAATGTAAGTAACAGTTATGGATTATCTGAAATAGAACGAGATGAAGCTTGAAATTAGGCACTCAGAATTGCAGAAGGGTCTAAGGCGTTGCGTTAATGTTGGAGTGCAAGTGTTGTCTTGGGTTCGAATACATCTTCTAACAGTTTTTTTTCGTCCCTCTCGCTTTCTCTGTATAGTATATTTACCAAAATTATCATATTTTAAATCAATATTAATTAATCCAGTTTCCGCGTTCTGGGCTGTAGTCGTTTAAGATAGCATGCTGGAGTCTAATTCTGGAGATATTCTGTTCCAATACCGACCAGGAAACAGTTTTCATAGGATTATAACTTCTTTCCTCAGTCTTTTCAGACATTTATGTGCTGGGATATCGACTTAAAATAGACCACGATCGCATTCAGCATTCATAATCAGCTTACGCCATATTGTGACGTATTTGAGCTATACAGGACACCCCCTTATTCGCCAGCTGTCCCGTAACAGCGTGTCTCTGCTACGTTACGAGCGCGTCGCTGCTACGTTGCCAAGTCAGTGAACACTCCTCCTCCCTTAACCCCGTGGTGACTTAACACGGGACACCGCTGTTAACATAGGCAACAGGGAACGGTATAAAAAGCCGGCGGAGCAGTATGTAACGAGATAATTTCCATGTTATTCAATGTAACCTGCGCATTTTCTAAAGTCACGGTTTCAGAGCGATGTGACAGTTGATCGAATGCCTGTAGATCTGTGCTTAAATTGTATATTAAACGCTGACGTCAAACAGTATGCAGGAATTTCTTTTATCTCCCATACTGTTATTTAATAATGTGGCAAAATCTGAGACTAATATTATGTTATTTTATGAATAAAATGTAACACTTGCAACCGCTCTTACGCCCTTTATTTTTTTGATGTTGATTGGGTTCCGGTGGCAATGAAAGTCTTCCTCAGGATCGTTTACGGGTCTTGGATTATGAGACAAAGGGTAATGATAATGCGACTGCACACATTACAATTGCTTACTGGTTTAATATATTATTTGCAGAACACGTCTATCCGTCGGAATGACCAAATTAGAAGTCCCCCTTGAAGCCCGGACTATATCCTTGAGTTTGGGGACATTAATTCTCCCACCCTCGCAGATATATTCCATCATCGCTTCTCATTCGATCATTCAAACGGAAGGCGGGTGTTACAACTTTGAATCCTCCAATACCCTCTTACAATTATATCTTCGAAGCCGCNCCAACGATTCCTGAGACCTCGCTGGACTGCAGCTGCGAAGTGTAATATTTCAAACGATAAGCGGCATCCTTTGCTCATAATATATATATTTATATTGGTTTCACGTAACAACTGACACTATGGCACCACTATTCCGTGCCGCAGGGATATAAGTGTCAGTTGTTTATACTCCGCTTACACCAAGTCTTACTCTTAATATTCCAATTTAATCACTAGCTTAAATTGGACGACTTCATACTTCGAACAGCATAACCAAAAATGTACGAAACAGTTAAGGATTTTTTTGAAGTTGACGTGTACGATGTGGTTTCTGTACAGTCAGGATGGCCGAGCGGTCTAAGGCGCTGCGTTCAGGTCGCAGTCCACTTCTGTGGGCGTGGGTTCGAATCCCACTTCTGACAATTTTTTTTTCGTCCCTCTCGCTTTCTCTATTTAGTATATTTATCAAAATTATCATATTTTTAATTACGATTAATTTAATTTAATATTAAATTGAATATTTAATATTAATTAATCCAGTTTCCGCGATCTGGGCGGTAGTCGTTTCTTTGTGTCTCCGGCTGTATAATAACACAAAGCTTACCATTTTTCTTTTTCCCGTCACGGTACAGACAGTCGGACCTATTCCGACTGGAATCGAGTTCGATTCCCTCCAGGGTTAAATATCACNCAATCTTCATCCCACAAATTGCTCTACAATCACCCTCACCTATCATCTGGGGCTGGTACAAATAGGCCAGAAGTGGCCGCAGTACAAGGGACTTAGTCCCACCTCATTAGCAATAAAAAAGTTAGTACAAATAGTAGCACTAATAGTAGTAGCAGCAGCAGCTGTAGTAGTAGTAGTAGTAGTAGTGGCAGCAGCAGCAGCAGCAGCAGCAGTAGTAGTAGTAGTAGCAGCAGCAGTAGTAGTAGTAGTAGTAGTGGCAGCAGCAGCAGTAGTAGTAGTAGTAGTAGTAGTATGGCTGTGGAGCCATAGATAGGTTGGTAGATAGATAGAAATTTTATTATTATTATTATTATGACGATTATGGTAGAGGAATCTTGGCGAGTCCAACCGATAAGTTTCTTGTTTTACAGACCGCGTCCTGAAGTCTTCCTGTTTCTAGAGCACCCTTTCCTTGCTTTCAAGACCTGGTTTCACGCTTAAATGACATAATTCACCCTCTTCTCTACTTTTTTATTGTTAATGTCTGTACTACCAAGAATTTTGTTCAGTTTCCCCGTCTAAGTTTCCTTTGTCTCCCAAGCTCTTTCGTTGCCATGACGACTGAAAGAAAAAACCAAGGGGAAGAAGAATTTAAATGCATTTTTAATTCCATTAATAACAAGTAGAATCAGAAGCGATTCGAAAGTAAAAAGAATCATTGTATCAGATTGAGTGCTTGGTTCTAGGCACGTTTCGTTTTCACTTGCAATTGCCAACACAACTAGCGAATCGTAAGGATCCTGGGTAGCATAGTCGGTATAGCGACTGGCTACGGGTTGGACGACCGAGGGATCGGAGTTCGAGTTATGATAAGGCCAAGAATTTTCTCTTCTCCATGTCGTCCAAACCGGCTCTGGGGTCCACCCAACCTCCTATCCAATGGGTACTGGGGGCTCTTTCGCTGGGGGTAAACGGCCGGGGCGTGAAGCTAACCACTCACCTCCAACTGGTGCCGAGGTCAAGAAAATGTGGATCTATACATCCACTCCCCCATACGCCTTCATGGCATAGTGCTTAGTTAGTTAAGCAGAGGGAAAATTTTAGTTTACCTAAGCATCGAATCATACCTAACTTGATGTATGCCCTCACAGTCTTCAGTGCAACTTTCCGCAAGGTTCTTGATTCAGACTTGTCCTTCTTTCCATGCTACACGAGATGCGTCCGTCTCACAAGGACCATGGGAATCAAGAACCGCATATTTCAAGTGATAAAATAGTGTAGCAGGATGCTACAATGTAACATTATGAATGGAAATCACATCTAAGCATGAAACATAAACTTTAACTTCTCCTGCATTTAAGTAGTGGCTTCTCCGACAAAGCTGACGTAATGGTTATACAAGGAAATATTCGATAATCTGTAATTTGAATGTGGTTATTTCCTGCACTACAGATACAGTAATGGTAGATGTAGTAACCAGGTATGACTCGGTCGCCAGTGTCTACAGCCTAGCCGTGGGTTTAGCATTCAGCGCTGTTCGCCTCGAAACAGCATTGGCTGGCAGCCACGTGTTGTCAGTTGTAGGTTGTCTTTTTTTTAACACTGTTCCATTACTGCAGTGTTCCTGGCTGCATTTGAACGCTTCGACGTCTGTCATTAAAACACTAGCACGAAATTCTTCCGCCGGAGTTGAGTGTTGCTGCGTCCGCATTAGCCAGATACAAGCGTTATACATACATTACTGCATGGTATTGTTCGTCACACAAATCGCTTAATGATGAGCTCCTAATTTATGCTCCTAATCGAATATTGTCAGAATGAGCAAATCAAAGATAATGAGATGGGCAGGACATGTAGCAGGCATGATTCAGCCGATCATACAAAGTTTTGGTGGGAAAACCTGTAGGAAAGAGCCCACTAGGAAGATCTAGGCGTAGATTGAAGGATGATGTTAAAATGAATCTTAAGGCAGAAGGATGGATGTTCGGAACTGAATTTATTTGCATTATGGTGGAACCGCGGGCGCCCTGTACACGGTAATGAACCTTTCTGTTTGAGAGAGTTTCTTGAGTCGCTGAGCAAATGCTAGCATTTCAAGAAGAACTCATGAAGTTAGTTGTTGTTCATTACATTGTTGAAATATGTGAGGCAATTTTTACTAATTAAGGAACAGCGTTTAGCATTTCCTTTCTTGAGAATCTGACAGACGCTGAGCTACCCAAGAGAAGCCTCCGTTTCTTATAGGACGCGAAGTTTCATTACCGTGTGCAAAACAGCCCGTCACCGACCACCCCACAATTAATATTTTAGTTTATTATATTTCATTATCCGAATTATGCACAGAGAAATTAACGAAAGCGAGTGGCAAGTAGACATTTTGAATATCTACCTATGGCTCTAAAGCCTTTGTGGACCTTGGACACTTTTTCAGTTTCTTAATCCTATACACTGTCTGTAGGACTCCTTTGACGGGGGATCAGGCGGTCGCAAGGCACACAGACATCGAGACAGACAGAGTGGGATTCGAACCCACGATCCCAGTGTTCGAGAGGTCGAGGACGGTTCATGCCTCAGACCGCGCGGCCACTGTGATCGGCTGCCGTTTAGACTGCTTTCAACACTATGTCTGACTTAACCCCCATAAAGTGTTTTTCTGAAGCAGAGTGATAGATTATGAGCCAGTGGATTTTATTGAATGGTGGGCAAAATTTTATTTCCTGAGCCCTGACTATAAGTATGGCCTACTTGTACTTCCTAGGGCTAGGCGTTGCATTAGCAAGAGCGTCTGGGAAGTTATACAAGACGGGACAGACTAAACAAGACAGAATTACGATTCACAATAAAATGGAAACAACACACTAGATTGAACACATTCGGTAAGACAATGTTTGTTGATTTGCGTTTATTGCTGAGATGCCAGATGTAATGTTACAAATTGGAAATGTGGCATCTTATAAGACAGAAGCTATATCGAGATGTTTCCAGCGTAATAAAAAAGTCGCATAGTGGAGAGTGGAGTCCAGCTGGGTCCACTCGTCACGTCGGCCATTGATTGGCCTATTGCACTTGCCATGATTATGAAGAATTTGGTGGAATGGAGATTGGCAGGGGAAACCGAAGTACTCGGAGAAAACATGCCCCAGCGCCACTTTGTCCACCACAAATCACACTTTACGAGACCCAGACTCGAACCCGGGCCGCCGCGGTGGAAAGTTAGTGTCTAACCGCTTGAGCTATGGCGCGGCCTGTTTCAGGCGTAGCTAAGGTAAGTTTACATCTCCAAATGTATACCAGTTATCTTGACTGATGGATAAGGCTGTGTAACCCATTTGTTTGTTAGGTTTAGATGGGGGTCGGAGAAAACAGGGCAATGAACATCCAGATTCCATAATTGGTGGGTAACTTAAACTTTTGTCCCTAAAGTTCGTTAATAGGATAACATAGCTGTAAATTATGTAGGAAAGTGAATAATATGTAGAATTGGATTACTCCAAGCTACAAAAGTGACAATGAAGAGTTTGTCTTCTGGGATATAATCTCGTGTAGTCTTTTGAAAGCCATCCGACGCTTTTTGAGTAGTATGTAGCCTCCATTTTCACGGTCGAAAAATAAGCCAAGCAAGAAATCAACTCTTCTTTTACCTCTTTCACGATGTTTCTTTTTGCTTGGTTTACTCTCTATCCTGAAGATGGAGGTGACATATTCATCGCAATCATCGGTTGAGTTTCAACGGACTGCACGTCGTTGTATCCCAGAAGGCAGAACTCTTCATAACCTTCATAACACCGCAGTGAATTCTTCTAGTGACGTACCTATAAATACGGAGTGTACTACATGGTACAAATGAGCACAAGTGGTTCCAGTGTCACCTAATAGATGTCAGGAGTAGCCTATAGATGTTTGAAGGAATGTCTCCACGCTATGAATACGATAATCACTACATTCAAAATGATAATTTTATGCACGGAAAATTGTACGTAAGAGGTGTAACGAGAGACTGGAGTGGATCCTTGTTTAAACGTTTACCGTTTTTCGTTTCTTAAAGCTGACTACCGTACCTTTTGACATTGATTGATGTCGTCAGTGAGAAGTGCGAGATGCGCACGTGCCAATTAATCACAATGATAAACTGTATTAATATGGCTATCACTATAACGATTCGTATTTATTCAAAACATATTATTTTGAAGGATATTTGTTCTAAGTTGTCCGTTACAAATTCTCTAAAGCTGCGGCGTTTGATTTTCTCATTCAGTTTATCAGGTAATGCGTAACTGTTTTTCCATAAACTCTGAAAGATTTCTCACAATGCTTCAACACATTGAACCAATGGGCTGAATTCTTTTATATTACTCAAGCTGTATCAAACACAAATACCTAGCCACTTCGCACCGATTAGAGGAATTTATCCAATGATAATGTGTAATGAAACCATAGAAGCCAATCAAATTAAGCGTACCATGTTTATTTTTGTGTGTCCGATCACCCGCCAAAAGATATCATTATGTTTCTTCTGATTGGAGAAGTAAGGTAAGAATTTATTTACTTGCCAAAGTTTTATATAGGTATTATCACATAATGTAGAATTGTAATATACTCATGTCAGTACATTATACAAGACATATTCTGGAATAGTTTATGAAATATTTTGCTTTGAAATTCAGTTACCGCCATTGATCAAACTTTAGATTCTCCCTTCACTCACAGGCGACGTTGCTGTATGGATGCGCGGTAGCCATCTTGGCAGAAATGTAAACCTTTGTTGATTCGGTGATCTGTTGTCGTGTTTCAGTCTATTACTGTAATTAATGTTGTTAGGTGTTGTTTGTGGAATCAAATGAACCTGTAAATATAGTACGAGAACGACATAGCACGTAAGGTAAGTCTGCTATTCTACGTGAAGTGTCTTGGAAAGTGAGAAAAGTGTTTTTTCATGCACGCCAAGCGTAGACTGATCGGTTTAGTCACCGCGTCCAGTCGTGTGTACAAGCTCTGTGTTCAGAAGCATTTATGTAATTGATCGCAGTGTCGTCAGCTTTCGATAAGCTGTATCAGGCATCACTAATACCAACTGGTTGATATTAAGATTTTATGAAGTTTGTGTCACAGTTCTACAGAGGAAGAATTGACCTGAATTTAGAATCGGTAAAACCGCCCAAGATGGCTGCCCGACGGGAATTCGGACGTTGGTTATTGTACGAGCGTGTTCTGGATTTCAAAATGGTTGCATACGAGTGACGCAATCATTGTCGCTTGGTTATGATTTTAACATTGAAACTTTGCTTAATCGTATTGTGTAGCGTAGTGTTGTGAATTTATCGTAATTTTCTGTAAAATTGAGGGTATTAAATGTGGTTACGGCAGCTTCAGCTCGGCTGAGGGGAACGGTCTAGGGGGTGCGGGCATGCCCAAGTATGCTGACGCTCCTTGGGCAGTGGGACGGGGAGATCCACGGTACTTTCTGCGTTGTTATGCGGTGTTGTGTAGTAAAGGTATGCTTCGTCATCATATGGTGTAAACATATATTTTTAAGATTCAGTATTTCGTGTGCTGGAGGTTAATACGTATTTTTTATTGAAAGGAAGCGCAGTTGATGAAACACACTGCAAAATTGTTTCGTGTTTGTGTCTTAGATGCCTACGAGTAATATAGTAATGTGACAGTCGATGTGAGTACCGAATTTCTTTTGTAGTTGGGGTACAGAATGTGAAGTTTTTGTGTTGGAATCATTTTACTAAGATATATTTCTTTATTGATTTAAAATATAGTGTGACTTTTTCTTTTCAGATGCTTGCTTGTTGCTTTCGTTAAGATTTAGTGAAAGAAGAACAGGACGAGGCGAAAGGCGGGACTTCGTTGCCATGCGTTCCCGCCCGGAGCCTGTCACATAATGAGGGAAAAAGATGTGAACGTGTATAGTGCAGTGATGTTTTTGAACGGTGGCTAGGAAAAGTGGACAGACCAGTGACATAATTTTGGTATTGTTTACAGCGAATAAAAATAAGTCGTGATCATGAAAGATCAAGAACCGGTGAGTAGTGCTACATGGACGACGTGGATCTTGGAAGCTATTCGCAAGATCCGGACTCAGAAGCAAAGACCGTCAGTGGAAAGGATTTGCAATGCGATCCGTCAGCATCAGAATTTTAGTAGTGATGTGATTGCAGATAATTTAGAGAATGCTGTCAAAGCGGGTAGTGTGCTTAAAGTATTCAATAAGGGCCAAAGTTCGTATAAAGATCCCGGTGGGCTCCAAAGCCGGCAGTTGAACGTTTCCAAGGGGACTGATTTGTCGAAAGTGATCTCGAAAGTAGTGCGTGAACTAGGCAGAAGAGGTGGATCAAACTTGAAAACTATCGAGAAATACATCCGGCAATCTCATGCTGTGAATCTCGCGTCCAGTGATGTTGATTTTAGATCGTTACTGAGGATTTCTGCGAAACGCGCCGTTGCTCGCGGACTCGTGAGACAAGAAGGGCGCTTCTTCAAGCCTGTGTCTCGGCCAACATCTGCTAGTGCGATTTCTAGTGGCGAAAAATCCCAGAAACAACGGCAATCGGTTTCTCCAAACAAACATCGGCGGCAGTCGGATAGCCATGCCCAAACTTCGGACACACCTAAGGTAAGCCATGTTGCATGTGATTTTCACTTGTATGCCGGAGGAACATTGGTTTCAAACTCGTCCGGCATTGTATACAACAGTCTTTTAATACTTCCGAAGTAAGAAGTGAATGTGATGTTCATATGTTTACAGACAGTGCAGTGTGGTATAGTTTTGGCGTCCATGTACATGGGGCCAACTTGAAAGTTGGAAAATGAAACCATTTATGCCACAGGGGCTTAAAGGCCTTTATCATGAATAAACTACATTTTTGTTTGGTGTTTGAATTAAGTTTTATGAAGGTAGCCGTCTTCTCGGATATGACGCCGTGTACTCTGGCAGAGCGTTGCAGACGTGTCGAACGAAACTGTTGTCTTCATCATCTGGTTAATGGATGATGGAGATAGCTCATTTCTCCGATAGACTGCATGGTGTCACATCCCAGAATGTAACAATCCTCATAGTCACTGCAATGTTTGTGATGGAGCTTGTGTTAAAGAAGGATGTCATCTGTGTTCTTAAATTTCATTTTTTGTTTGTTTGTACGGTAGATAATTATTTAATGATTGTGTGACTTAGTAAGAAATGTCTTGGTGTTTTTTATATAGTTGATTTAACTTTTGGGGATTGTAATTCTGTATTTCAGCATCCTGTTGTAATTGTTTAGCTTAACGTCCATGTATTTATCGTGTCAGTATTGCAACACTTGTTTATTCACCACTTAATCTTAATTTTAGTTCAACATTTTACGCTTTGATACAACATGTTTCGGCCCCAAACATCCATCTTCAGGTGTCTTGATATGTTACAAATATTTTATTAAATTATGTTAAAACTGCTACACTGTGTTAACCCATGTTAAAATCACACGCTGTAGTTCTCTTTTCAGGGTAAAACAAAATAAAATCCGTTTACTTACTAATGGAGCTGAGCACTTCTGGAGGAGCCGCCAATTCTGCAGCTACTCAAGAATTTCTCCCCATTTTATGGAACCCGAAGGTTCATTACCGTGTTCACAAGAGCCTTCCACTGGTCCCTATCCTGAGCCAGATCTGTCCAATCCATACCATCCCATCCTATGTCTCTAAGATCCATTTTAATATTGTCCACCCACCTACGCCTTGGTCTTCCCAGTGGTGTCTTTCCTTCTGGGTTTCCCACCAATATCCTATACGCATTCCTCGTCTCCCCCATTCGTGCTACATGACCTGCCCACCTCATCCTCCTTAACTTGATCATTCTAATTATACTTGGAGATGAGTACAAGTTATGAAGCTCCTCATTATGCAGTTTTCTCCAACTTCCTGTCACTTCATCTCTCTTCGATCCAAATATTCTCCTCAAAACCCTGTTCTCAAACACCCTCAGTCTATGTTCCTCCCTTAATGTTAGAGACCAAGTTTCACACCCATACAGAACCACAGGCAAAATTATAGTTTCGTATATCCTAATTTTTATGTTTTCTATTAAACCCACATTATTTTGGTGCATTCTGTTTCACCTCACAAGGGGTGTCGTCTGTTGTACATAAATGTATGTCTGTCCCAGCTTGCCCTTCACGTTTGTAGCCTACTTTTCAGTTACGTTTCCAATATGCCGCTGGTTTGCGTGTTTCCTCCACAGCGTGTCGTGTTTTCTTTACAAGCCTTGTTACTAGTTTGAAAAGAGAACTACAGCGTGTGATTTTAACACGGGTTAACACAGTGTAGCAGTTTTAACATAATTTAATAAAATATTTATAACATATCAAGACACCTGAAGATGGCCGCTTGGGGCCGAGACATGTTGTGTGAAAGTGTAAAATGTTAAACTGAAATTAAGATTAAGTGATGAATAAACAAGTGTCGCAATATTGACGGACGATAAATACAAGGACGTTAAGTTTTTGGAATTTCTTTGCCCAATTGAAGCTGGCAGTGAATGTGTACAGTGGCAGCTACAGTGTCTGTTGGTACTCTCATATTGTAGGCTAGAGCCATATTTGTGAACAGCAGTGTGGAATGGGCATTGCTAAGAAGCAACTTATTGTAGTGGAATGTTTAATTGTTGTCTTCATTAGTTACGAGTTAAATGTCTCTGGTTGCTGTGGGTAGCCCCTCCCCCTTTTCTCTCTGTGGGTGTGCGTACTGTAAACTTCTCTAGCTGACCACGTGTTCGCGGTTGTCATGACGTCATAACGTTGCCCTTGGTCTGGAAATAGCGGATGGGCATGAGGACACGAAAATAATTCTCAATACCCCCAAGTTTTTCATGAAACATAGCAGCATTGGTAGGTATTTAAGGCCAGCGGTCCTCTTTAACAGGAATTACTGTTTTGTTTAACGACGCAGTAAGTCGGGCTGTATATAGGCCAGTGATAGGATAATAGGAACAATGAACTGAGAAGTATGTGAAAGGAAGGAGCGGTACCCAATTGAAGATACTGATCCGGAATTTTCCAGGCGGGACTGCGGTGTATGAAGGAAAAACCTCAGAATAGACCCGTCTGAGGTTTGAACTGGATACCTCTCGAATGAAAATCCCGAGATTTACCGTTTGAGCCAACTGTTTCGATAATATGCCGAAAATGTTTAGTGTTACAGTATGTTTATGTACGATGACGATGTAGCGACCAGTTAACGTAAACTACTTCTCTTCAGTGTTTTATAATACTGTATATATATTGTATATAGTTGCTCTGTTTACTGAGAGACATCCCTCATTGACCTAGTGAAATTAAAACCGATTCCCACTCATATTAGGACAGATTTTTATATTCTTTTTTAAGTCTGAATCCATTCACTGCTTAGAGAAGATGAGGTTAATTTTGTTTCATCTCGTGTTTGTGTTTGTCCTAGCAGGCGCAAATGAACACTTACCTGAATGCTCTAGTACTTGTTTTCCGCGCTGTAAAGTTCCTCTGAGAGCGTCGTGGCATTGTGTTAGTTACGGAAATTAGATCATATACAGAAACAGTAGTATTTATTGTTATTTAATTATTTCAGGATAGTTTTTAAGAAGTAGATTGTAATTTCGCACAAAGTTAATTGGACCGTACAGTAGCTCACTTTACTTTTATTTTGAATTTATGTACCTGTTTTATTGTCTTCGTGCACGTGCTAGTATGAGACCCGAGTTTTCTCAGGGTAGACTGAAAACCTTTTTGAGTGTTGCTTAATTTAAAAGTACTGCGTTCTAATGGCTAGCATGGGAGCAGTCCTGTTACAAGCGCTATGTATAAAAAGGCAGCTGCAGTTTCTAGATTTGGTGGGACTAGCATTAAGAACCCCCCCCCCCATGCCCTCCTCACATTGTGTTATGAACCCGTCGTATTGTTAGGTACTGTACATTTCCTGGTAGCAACCCTTCACCACTTTAACGAGGGAAAAGCAAATAGGCATATAGGCAAATAGCAAATAAACATTGTTGTCGTCTGGGATGTGATGTTGTAGTATGGTATACCTGTAATGTGGATATCTGCTAGACTACACGGCATCACATGCCAGACGACAGTAATCATAGCCTCCCCTCCTTGAGAACATCAGTTTTCATACTAATATCGGAAGGCATGTCTGGAAGGTTGCGTTAATGGCGAAAAGAGACGGTGGAAGAGAGGGAACAAGTCTAGGAAATTCCCAGCCTTGTTTCTGCAGTTTTACCATAATAGATATGTTGCCGTGTTTGTAAAACAGCTAATTAGTTTCGTATAAATTGGTTTTTAAGTTCGTATACGTAATTCTGTTAAAAATTTTGTTTTTTTTTGTCCCCACATTGCACGGCATGGCAACACTGTAGGGGTCTGCAGCAACACCGGTCCAGCTAGTTTGCAGCTTCCCATTTTAATCCAATGTCTCTCTTTCTCTTTTCTCGTTTCCCTCTCCTCGTTTTCCCCACCTTTTTATTATGTAACTCACGGGCCGGACTGGAAACCATTGAATAGACGGACAAGCTACAAGGGAAGACTGCTGGTTGGAATCGCTCACTCAGTAATAATACAAAGAGATACTGCGATGCCAGCCTTTTGAAACATCATCTATATTGCAACCACCACTTATCGCGCCCCCTTTTTTTTTCACGCCGAAGCTTCCGAATACGCAATTCATTTCGGACCATAACTTTTTTCTTCTTGGTAGGCCTATAGTTTCAAAATCCAACAAGGATTTAAAGGTTGGGACGACGTTGTACTGTGATCTTATTGATACCGAAGATATTATTAACAATCAGTATCGTTTATTATTGGCATGGACCCAGGGTTCGAATCCCGGTAGGAGCATTGTGATGTTTATTTTCTTGCTGTTCCAGCCCCATGTCCGTTCTTTGCAAATTGCTGTTGCCGAATGTGGCGGTCGGATGTTTGGCTCCCTGTATCCAGGCGGGCCAAGGCTCGAGTCTGTCCCGGAGAGCGACTGCCCCTCAGAAAGGTTGTCATTCCGTCTTGACAAGCGCAGAGATGTCGCCGGAAACTAGCCATGACCGTTTCCTTTCGTATTCTTTGGGATAAAACATCCGGAACGCCAAGTTCATCTCCGTCTAGTGCCGAGGTTAAGAATTTCTAAAGCTTTACCGTATTATTATGCCTAGGGTTATTACTTTAAAACGCCTTATTCCACATAAGCTTTAGTGAACAGTGTAGTTGTTTAACGGTTCGTGAATGTTTTTGGAAAACGTTTTGAAGCAAAGATTGGATTGAAAATTTTGATTATCATGTAGGGTTTTAGGTTGTCACAGCGGTGGTTATGAAGAGTACTATCTTCTGTGTGATTACGGCATGTAGTCTGCTGAACGTCAACCTGTGTTTCGGGGGAACATATCGCCTCCATATTAAGGGTCGAAGAATAAGCCGAGCAAGATACCAGACTGAAAGCAGGTGGCATGTAAGCTTTCATGCCGGTATTTTCCTCGGATTATTCGACCCCGAAGATGGAGGCGATATGTTCCTCCGAAACATTAGTTGAGTTCCAGCGGACTACACGGTATATCCGAGAAGATAGCGCTCTACTCTGATTATCATGTTTGCGTTGATAACTTAAAGCACAGGTGGA